AAAGAGAGGGAGATCGTCGTTCTTCTCTTCCACCGATATGTTCCTGCTCAGGATCCGATCGAGCAGGCACTGACCTCACGAGACGATGTCGGTGCGAACGAGAGAGGAAGAAAAGGCGAGAAAAAGAGGAAGATGTACGCGGAGGAACGAGCAGAGCGCGAGGGACAGGAGAGAGAGAGAGAGAGAGGGGAAATAACACAACGATAAATAATACAAAAAACAGAGAAGAGGATGACGGAGAACGAGAAAGATCAGTAGCGGATTAAAACGGTGTACAATACCTCGATTTGTTTCGAAGCGTTCACTTTTCTCCGTCACGATGTAACTTCCTCGCGGGCTTTCAAACACGCGCGGATTTCAAAAACGAGCAAGTCGCGGGAAAAAGGTACAGAGGAAGAGACAAGAAGCGCACTCTCTTCCGCTCTTTAAACACGGTTTTCGCACAAGTTTTACGTGTGTCCGAACGCGCGACGTTTCCTGTTCAAAGATATATCGCGAGAGCCGACGAAGATCGTCGGCGAAAGCGACGATGCGCGATGGAATCGCGCTCGCGAGGTTCAGGATGCGTCAACGTATAGCCCGCGCGCCGGTTTAGAATAGACTGAATGTATCTTCGGGACGACTCCGCCGCACTGTGGCGCTTCGCTCGCGCTCGGCAATCCTCGGCCACGATCGGCCGCGCTCGGTTGCCGCGGACCGAACCGACCGCGACGCCTTGTCGAATGTCAACAAGGCCCGCTCCCTCATTCGATCGCTGACCGTGCACCGTACAGGTCGAGGTAGGAGCGCCCGTTCGCTTCTACTCGTCTCACTGTTGATGTCAGGACCATTTCGAATTAGACATTGCTCTTCTAGACTTTGATTCTATAATAAAATAGGTAAGATTCATGTTAGATATTCTTGTAATAATTTATAACTATTTAATAGCATAATAAATTTATGCGCCGATTATTTTCTAAATTTTTTCCTCTCTTAAATTTTTGGAGATATTCTCATATATCTAGAAGCTGTATATGAGATCTAAATATTACTTTTAATTAAAATATCTCGTTTTAAATTTGCGTTAAAGTTTGAAGAAAGATGAATTTATATAATTCCAAACTAATTAGCATAATAATAAATGCGCCTAATTTATTTTTTGTAATATTTCCTCTCTTAAATTTTTGGGGAGATATTCTTATATAACTGTATATAAAAGATCTAAATATCGCTTTTAATTAAAATATCCCACTTTAAATTTGCGTTAGAATTTAAGGAGAGAGATGAATTTATAATAATTCATAACTATTTAATAGAATAATAAATTTATACGCCAATTATTTCCTGCAATATTTTCTTTCTTAAATTTTTGAAGATATTCTTATATGTCTAATAACTGCATGTAAGAGATTTAAATATTACTTTTTAATTAAAATGACCCGTTTTAAATTTTATTCCGGTATTTATATTTTCTTTCGGATAACGTAGAATTATACAAATGGAATTTAATTCCCGAAATTTATTTTTCTAACAGAGATCTAAAACGTATTCCGCTTGCAGGAAAAAACATATTCATACAAAATACAATATATCATTATAACAATGTACATTGTTAGACAATATATTATTCCATGACTCGTGGTTATGTGACTACGCGTGAGACATTAACCGTACATTATTAATCGTTGTTACATTATACCAACAGTTCAAAGCTCGTTTAAAGGTACATTAAAACAATAGAACCATATCCTGCAGCATCATTAGTTTGATAATCGTTTAGAGTTTAGTACTTGGAGAAACTCGCTTAAAAGCGCGAGCTCGTTAAAGTTTGAAATACTGAATTGTTTTACGAGTAAGCGGAATCGTAAATCATTTTAGTGCACATATACAATATCGATCTCTCAGATACTATTTTGAGATTTCATCCAGAATAATATTGATCTTTCGATTTGAATATATATTAAATTAAATACAATTTTGTTACTAAAATTTCTAATCACATATACATCAATGATGTTCATACAAAAGTATATAAAATGATATTCATAGTTCGCTGCGCATATCCCGTATATAGGTACTTAAAATACACTCCAATTTTATTTTCATGAGTTTTATCTTTGCGATGTTATTGACGTTAGCGTACGTCAACGTTATTCCACTATCGTCATATAAAGGCAACTCTACGACATCAAGGCATTGTCGAGCATATACGTTCGCGTGTATACATTATGCAAATTGATTCCATCGATTGACCGGACTCACCGCGCGAATATAGACTTGTTGCGCGTTTCACTGGCTCTATTCCGTCCTCTATTGCGTGCTCGTCCTGCAGCTTGTATTTGCTACGCAATTCCAAGAAAATAACGTCATATTAGGAAAATAACAAGCGTGAAAATAACGAGTCTCCCAGCGCAGCATCTATTCATCAATTTACAAGCATTTCCATAATATGATTGACGTGTATCTTGATTCAAATTGCAAAAATGAAAAAATTATTAACGTTTTGGCTAAACGTACAAATTGAGAATATTAATTTTAACAAATCTAAAGTTCTAGAATTCTCTCTTTTTGTAGAAATTTTATAAAATAATTATTTTATATAATTAACACATTAGTGGAGATTAAAAAAAAATATGTGAGTCATTATTTTACTTTTTATTTATATATTTTTCACATATAATCCTAAAAAATAATGGTTATAAAAAAAAACAATATTGAAATTAATTCGTAAAAAGCTAAAATCACTAAATCGATAAAATCTTTCGTTAATGTGAATGGATGTTATTTCGAGGAACGATCGATTCATCAGTCCCACCGATTCAGATAACGTCTTTCCGTGAATAGTTTCGATTCCGCTATCGACTACCAGTCTCGCGCATTTTCTCCAAGTTTACGGACAATTAAGGGTCATCGTAATTACCTTAAGAGGCCTCTTCGTGGGAGCGGTGCCGTTGCGGGTGATTACATGTCGCCAACGACGGCGCCGCTCTCTTCTCGCCACTCGTATGCAAGTGTCATTATATGACCGGTATGTAAACACCTATCGCGAGATATCGCGCGTTGCATTTGACTAGGGAAACTCCCGCAAACAAGAACGAACGATTCATAAAATAGTCTTAATAATAGTCGTTTAATGGCCGTTAGAAGCTATGAGATGATAAAACGAAGTGTCGCTAATCATGAAATTATTGTATCCTCTCATTCCGCTTACGTCAACAGCAATTACACAAAATAAGGTAATACCCAAAGGAATAATTGTATACTTGATTAATTATGGAAAGTACATTTTTTCTTATCGGGTTTTTTAAAAGATAAATATATTTTTAGCAACACACATTTAAACTTCCATCATAAAAATACTTTGGCTTATACTTTGGCTAGTATTTATTACATTTTTGATTAAAAAATTTGTGTTATTATGTTTTAATTCAAAGTATATATACATATATACTTTTTTATTAATAATATCAATATTTTCTGATATATTCTTTGTGCAATAATGACATGTTATTAATTCAGCGTATAAAATCTGTATGTCTTTGAAGAAAACGTAGAAACTGTTAAATATGAAACATTTGATTTTCGGTCCTCTTTTTGTAATATATAATATTGAAATCGAAAAATTCGTATTGTGCACGTTCTTCTGAAGTTAGATTTAAACGCCAAAGCGTATGCTGACATAAGAAAAAGAATGAAGTCGATGACGTAGATCTCTTTGTTGTCTTCAAAAACTAGAAATGAAAAAGATCATATTATCTTTTATCTCTCTTTTATGTTTTATAAGAACGCAGGAACATATTTCTCGCGAAAACAGTCAGTAAAAAAGAAGACTACTAAGAGGTCATGAAGATCAATATGTTTTAATTAATGCAAAGAGCACAGTGAGGAGTGACTATTAGGATTCGCGGTAAATGATAGGTGGAACAACATCATCGATCCTTATCGCAAGCTTGACTTTGCTAAAGAGAGCAGCAAGACTTTACTAAGGAGAGCGGATTACCTTGCTGCCGGTTATCAAGAATGTTGTAAGATGAGGGTCCACTACTGCTTTATGCCAAGCCATAATTATCCTGCTAGTAATACGCGGTTGTCGTCGGCGCGATTAGCGTCGTCTTCTTTCGCGAGTTGTCTCAACTCGTCGCAAATTGCTGGCATTGGGAAACTGGATACGATTTCTCTGACAGCGCGAATGTGTTTCTAATAATTTTTTTTTTTCAAATATATAAGTTTTTTTTTTAATTCCAATACGAGAAAATTAATAATCAATAAATTCCTAAAAGATAACTTTGCAACACAATTATATATAATCGATGATAAATTTTTTTTTAAATTTTTAATTTACGGAGAAAGAGAGAGATAGAATATTGTCCTTATTAATTAACATTAATGGTATAATATGTGAATCGGTAACCACAACTTCATTAGTGGTCGTAATAATTGGATATCACACAATTCTAACACAGTAAAGTTTCATTATAATGAATATCGATAAAACGAAATTCTCGTTAAAATAATATTTAATGAAATCTTATGCCAGAGAGAATGCCAATAGCAATACATGAATAAATTAATATATCACATTTTCATTAGAACAAACTTTATGTTAAAGGGAGATTGTCGCCGCGTATTTATGATAACTATAATTCGAATTATATTCACATTTATATTTTTGGCAAAAATATCGGAGAGAAACGTAAAAATCATATATATAAAAAATTTATTTTTCAATACTGTAGAGATCTTTTTGTTTGTATATCATCCAATATCGTTCTGAGTTCTTCATCCTCTAGACGTCCTTCGAGACTAGGAATAAGAGCTTTCGCTTCTTCCGGAGTTTCGGGACATAAGTTAGCTAGCGAGGCAATCTCGAATTTATGTAGCTTCTTCTGCATCAACAAACTGTAAAATATTTCGCATTATATTAATTGCGCCATTCACATTTCGTTACATATGTACCATAGGAATATTTTACATATTAATTTATATATATATATCTTACCTTCTAACGGCTGCAATTGTCTCCTTATTTTTTAACTTTCCGAATCGATTAGTGTATGTCAAGCTCTTCATAAAAACCTCGGAAAATTCTTGCTCTTCTTCCGCCGATTCATTTTGAGCCTTTCTATGCTCTAATAGCATATAAACTTCCGATATCAACAATGTCTCCGCATTTTCGAATTCTGCGAAGGGGAATTTATCATCTTAACGTTTAATTAATGACAAATATTTTATCATATAATAGAATTGATGTGTGATAATTCGCCATTCCTTTCCCAAAGTTGTACAAATTTAGAAGCTTTTTAGCAAACATTAATGACTTAATAAATAATATGAGAAGTAATATAAATAAATATGAAAAGTATGTACATAATAATTAAACTACCTCGCATTGCTAGAGACATTTTATTTCTTGATTAAAAATAATTAAAAAAATATAAAGTATAACACTTTCGCTAATTAAACATAGTCATTAAAAGCTTTCATATTATCGACATCTACTTATTACGATCACTAATATTCACAAATTTTAGTCAAAACTTTTAAAAAGAAATATTTTAATTCTATTATTGCAATCTATTGTCAATTACTACCTGATTGATTGCTAAATAACCTCGATTACTGATTAATTTTTATAATAAAATAATAGCAATTATATAATTCCAATTTCTTTAAAGAAAATAAAAAAACATTATAAATATGCGTATAAAACTTGGACACTCTCTAAAAAAAAGTTATTTTTTCTAAAATGCGAAATCTTTCTTAAAACAATGATGCGAGAACATTATCTGACTTAATTCATAATATCACAGTATCTGCGTATCGTGTGCTACATATTTTCTGCATCATATCAGTTTGCTAAAAAAATAAATATCATTGAACCGGTTTATTGATGTATCCAGTTTCTACCAAAAAATCATATATCTTTCGCGTTTTGTTCACATCGATTTTCAGGAGAATACGGGCCTGCGCCAATCTAAGATAGCCATTTTTCTTGTTTTCCGTTATCAGAAGATGCTTAAAGTCTAAGTAACTGGCAGGCACTACTCTCGCGATGGAGCAGAGCTCTCTCTCGTCGGTGCTCAACTTCTCATATCCCGGTAGACCCTTTATCGTGAGAGGAGGCGCGGACTTGCGTTGCATGTTTCCGGGAATCGGACTATTGCAACCGGCGTCGGGTAATAGACTTCTCCAACTGTATTCCGGATTACTCGTGTACTGTTTTCTCTCCCGCTCGTTATCCTGCCTTATCTTGCTCAATTTCTGAAACATGGATACACTATGAAAGTGTTTGAGTCCGTTTCCCCTAAACTCCAGAAGTCTATTGATCCGATTCTTTAACTCGCCAACGCGATGCAGACCCTCTATGAGAAAGTCAAATTCCATTCCGTCCACGAGCTGCATGAATATCAGCAGTCTCTCTACAAGCGAACGCGTTATCGTGTTCTCGTATCTTTGTGTCCATGATATAGCCTTGCGGAAGATGATCAGTCCATGATCGCGTACGATTCTCCGTCTCCTCGCGCGCTCCTTTAACCTGTTATTGTACGCCTGCACTATTGCCGTCTGCAAAGCCTGCGACAATTCGTACGCGTCGTCGCTCGATTGGAACTCGTCGTACTCGAGATTGGCCACCAACGATTCCGCATGATTATCGAAATTCACCTCAAAATCGGACCTAGCCGCGTTGTACCCGGCCAATAGCTTCGCGTTAATCGTATTCAGGGCGAATCTAGGCGGCTCCTCTATATCTTGCAACTTGTATAGGTAGGGGATCGGTTCGCAAGCGAATAAGCTGGCTTTTGTATCCTTGATCCTTGGCAGGCCCGGTAGAGTCTGATTGTTTATGTAATGTTGCAGATAATGCATCTTACATTCCTCCGCGGATTTTCCCTGTATCCTACGTCCTACATCGATCCAATTTCCGAAACCGCATTGCTGCACGACGTCCAGCAACTCGAGCTCCTGCTTAGCGGTCCAACCGCTGCCGTCGATCAAGGGAAACTCGTTTTTTATAATTACGTAATCGTGATCATTTTTATGTTCATTGATCTCACAGCCTTTGGCGAAGCAAAGGGGACATATCTCAACGTTGTTGCACATGGCACAACGAATATACGGCTCCACAAGGATCGATCTGCACACGTGGCACGTCGGGTCTGAAGTAAGAATTTCATCCTTCAGGACTGACATCTCGAGTTCTATGTCATGCTCAAACCTGTCTCTCGGACTCAGTGAACAGTCTGAAAGAGGAAATTCGTTACCTTAACCCTCGCCACTCGGATGTGCAGGCATTTTAAAATTATGATAGTACAAAAGATAGAAATTCTATTCAAACACACACAGAACTACTTGGAACTGCGTATATGTAAACTTTGTGAGATGACATTAACGTAACATCAAACTTAAATTTCAGGTTAATTAATATTTTCTCGAGATAAGAGTTAAATTTTATACTTGGGAATACGTCAACAATGAATCTAGCTGTACATTGCTTTAAATATTATTATTGAAACAGTAATAAAACCTTATGTCTCTTTGGCTGTTTACATATTCTATATATATTTATTATATATTTAGATCTTCAATACATATTTCTGTATATATATTTAAAAAAATTAAACTTGATTTTTTATCTAATATCAAAATCATATTCAATGTTATCATTATAACAAATGCAGATTTCTGCAATGTATTTGCACCGTATTCTCTTTTGAGACGCGCACAAAATTTTAAAATATAAAGTAGCTAAACATATTTTCGCTTTCAACACAATTATAATGAAAAGTTCAATTAATTTGAAGGCTGAAAAGATTAATTTTTTCTATTAAATTACCGCAACAAAAATATCATGGAAGTGAGGTTAGCTCTATTCCTGCCAATTTGCATACAATATAATCAGGAAATGTATATACCTTTTGGAAATTGTAGATCCGCCGCATCCTCCTCCGTCATATCCGTGATATTAGAGTTAGCCAGCGTGAAAGTATAAAAGTACAAACACTTGTTTAAAAGCTTTGGCAACGAGTTTGTAAATCGATGTTGTCAGTTGGAGGAATTTTTCCCAACCTAACCATACATATAACGTACTAAGGTACTACGGCAGCGACCAAGTGCTGCCTCGACGGACTCGTATTCGCGCAACGTAGAGGCGCTTTTATATCCACATAGATTTCTAACGTATCTTTTCTCATATTAATAATATACAAAATACGTCAAATTTATATTGAACATAAATTAATGCTATATATGTACATATACTGATAGAATTTATTAATTTTCTATAGAAGATACTTTCTATATTTTTGCTTTTTTATAAGGGCCCTAATGATACCATAAATCTGGATAGCATATGTACGCTGCTAAAGGTCATCTGACTCTCATACGCGACTACGCACGCGCGAAAAATCCCTCCATCTGACACGACTGCTTCTACGGAAGCACGCGTAACTCTGAAGCATGAATGGAAACAAATTCGCGTTCAGTGGCGCAATCAGGTGGACGAAAGACCGAATGGTTAGAGAAAATTTGTGGCGCCGAGTCGATAAAAGCTTGTAACTTTTATATACCATATTATGCTTTCACTATATATTTAAAGTGCCTTTAAACATGTAGAAAAAATACCTATTACACATAATATTTGTAATATAGTATTCAAAAAAAATTACTGCATATAATACAACTTGTTAAATTAATTCATTTTTTTTTTAAATTTGTTATATATACATATATATCAAAAAGATCGTGTGTATCACAACGTGTCGATTTTAAAAAGAAAAATCACATTTGTAATTTTTGGAAAATTTCTTCAAGCAAGGAAAATATTAGTAATAATAAACAGTTAGCACTTTGACACTAGATTTTTTTGATTAATATATTATATCAAACTGATTGTGCATCCGGACTAAACTTGCATTCTTCCTGTAAAGTCTGTAAAATGCAAATGTAATTTAACACAAGATGTTGCGGTAGAAATTGAGCACAAATATGCTACTTGGGGTGGAGGGCGTAGCTACATTTTAATCACTCTGTAATATGTAGAATACAGACATTGAATTAGGTGCGTCCTGAACAACAATGAACCAGGCATCGCTTGAAGATGTGCGGTAATTAAGGTCAAACGTAGAGCGATAGCATCGGAATACCTAATCGAGAGAATCCGCGTTGAAGCTATTAGAATGCACATCGTCGCTTTTCAATGAACAACAATGGACCATGGACGTGGGACCATGAAAATAAAGTCGAAACGCATTGCTGTGTCAACGCGAAAACAGATTATGTATTAGATTGCATGTCATTATATCTCGCGGGTGATATTTATTGACTTTCTCCTAAAAGCGGGTATCAGCAACAAGTATTGTTGTATCGCGAAAGCAAAACATTGTCACTTTTGCAAATTGAGAGAAAGGGACGTGGGAAGAAAAGTTTGAACAATAAAAACGAGTTTGTTCATTATATTATCTCTCGTTAAGATGAACAAAATAATACGCACAGATAAACAAGTAATGAATAAAGGTATTTTTATTGCTTTTCCTTTGATGATTCGCATTCGTCAAAATAAAACTCCAAAATTATTATAAAACAAGTAGAGTTGTGCAAATTAGAAACTTGCACATTGCTTCCTCATCATTTTATCTTACAATGCTTAAGCTGCTTTAAGCATGCGGATTTTTCAATTTTTTTTTTAGGAATATGATTTTTCGACGTTTTGGAACATTCTAAACACATTGGCATAGAAAACACGAAAAAAAATTTTGTCACGAAAACAAAGCTTCCTCTATGAGGAAGCAAAATGAAAATTGGAATTAATTAAATTATATAATTATAATTATATCTGAAACATTTATAGAGCTTGCCATTAAAATATTTTTTAGCGTGGTAAGAAAAAAATACTTCGCACACAAAGTATTGGTGAAAGGAATTTATAATCACGTAGATATATAAACACTTTGTATGGATATTTTAAAGATTTCGAATGTATCCACTGGTTTCATTTATATTCATTATATTCGCTTATGTTGAACATGTCGTTCGTTACGTTCGCATATGTCGCGCGCGGGAGTGAAACATTTAAATCGGCTCCTTCGTAAGAAGCATGTACGCATAACAATGGCATCATTATGCGCACATATTAGCCGACATTTTGTGAAAGTGTCGTGTAAAATGCCTTTCAAACACGCTAACTAACGGCTTTCTCATTCGAAGATGTGCCGCTAATAATAAGAATAGCGATTTTCCGTGACGCGAAAAACAAAGTTCTTTCCAATTTCCACATTTCTAGAAAAACGTAATTTTTTTGTTAGAATTTTTTAAATTTTAACACCATTTCCTGAAAATTTTCAGAATTTGTTTTTACCATATCGTGCAATTAAAGTATTGAGCGCAATAACAACTCAATCTCTTAAAAACTTGTGAAAAAATTAATTTTATAATCGGAGAACCAAATTGAGATTAATTTTCACAAGAGTTTACGGAAAGACTTTAATAACTTCTTATAACTTAATGTGTATATATTTACATATTTAGTTTTTCGACTTTGAAAACTCCTTCAATCGTTCAATTTATCTGATATATCCTGTATGTTAGAACGCGGGGTATACGGTATACTGTGTTTATCTATTGTTTTTCCATAAATTTCACACGCGCCCTACGAACGTCTCCCGAAGCGCGTCGTCCTTCACGCATATGTGTCTCGGAGACAATAGAAACTCGCACCATGCACGATGGAAGTTTGTTCCGTGCAGTTCTCTCGCGCGAGCGTACATTAATACGCGAAAAGCTCGTCGTTTGATCGCCGGCCGCGAGAAACGTCGCCGAGTTGTCGTTCACGAAGTCAATTTCCGCGTTTTCGAAACGAAGATATACGTGGCCCGTTTAAAAATGGAGATAACGCAGGATGCGGAGCCGGACTTCTCGAATGCAAGGACGCTGCACTTCCACGAGCTGATAGACAGGAAGGACGGCGACGTCCGCTCGATTCGCGACAATATCTTTGATACCGTCTATAGAGTAACGACCGTTAAAGGGTAAGACATCGTTTGGCCTTGTCGAAAATGTCAGGAGAATACTTCCGGAAAGCTGTCCATGAAGCGCGATGAGCTTTTTGAAAAAGCAATCATTAACGCAGTTACGGTGCTTCTGATGAAGTAAAACAGGAGAAGCAGAGACTATATTTTTAAAGTATCTAAGCTTGGATGGTAGAGACAATTTTATGCAAAGCTTTGTTTTTAGTTTGCTTTAATACAAAACAATTATTAAGTGGAGCAAAATTCGATTTTTTTTTAAATGATGGATATTTAAAGGAACGTTTGAAGTTTTTGAAAAATTATATAATATTGTATTAATATATTAAAAACATTCTCTTTAATCCTCAGTATATACACTTTTAATTACGTTTGATTAAGTTACATAAAAAATACAAATTGTTGAAGATAATGAATAAATAATATATTTTCCTAAATAATAAACCATTAAATAATAATGAATTGTTTTTAAGATTATAATTGATTTTATGAGAAACATTTGGCGATTATCGACGTGTACAATTAAGCACAATTAAACTTTAAATCCATAAAGAATCGACATAATGAATAAATGCAAATGAGAACTATATTCTCCATAGTGTTTTGTCGTTATCTAATGTGTTTTATGAAAGGACTTGGTAAAATTTACATTTCTTGCGATTGATTTTTAAAGCACTACGTCAGCGAATAATTAACGTTATGTCACCGTAAATTACGTTTATAAACGCATTCAATGCAGTGTTCATCAATGAGAAAAGAATTAAGATAGATTCAACATTTGACATTAACTCAGCGAGATTTCAACTAATTGTAAGTCTCAGACTTTTGAGTGTCGAAAGTCGACGTCAGTCATTCAATTTGACGACTCAACCATGTAGTCTGTTTTTAGTGGAACAATCGAAATATGATGATATATAGGAAAAAATAAGCAAAATAAAGAACTCATCTTTTCATGTAGTATCATCCTCTTTCTGTTTATATCACTGATAATAAATCACGTAAGATAAATTTCTTAGTGAAAAGTTTTCAAGGGAAATACAAACAATTGTTTCATTAACTGAATCCCGGCGAGATATCGACTATTAATAAACTCCACAACGATAGAGATAATATATAATTGATCGTGAGTTAATGTAATCATATAATCAAGTTATATCTCGAAAAACGATTAGTCACACATCGTGACTAACTCTAATCTGAAGATTCCATAAAAAAAACTGGATAACGACGCGTTTCTCTCGATGCGATTAAACATAAAAAAAATAACATATCTCTCTCTTTCTGTCTCCTTGGCGATGATATAAAAAAATATGTTTGTATGTCTATGTGTGTATGTATCACATATATGGCCTTTTTACGATTTAATTGCATGACTTCAATTTTTCTCATTAATCTCATTGCCGCAGGGATTTCCGCATAACGGTGCATGTATTAGCGTGCATGTGTGTGTAGAAAACTTCATCTCGCTTATAATTTACAGCCGAAGCTATATATCGTTCAGTTACGATTCGCAATAAAGTGTATATTCAGAAAAATTTTAAACATTCTATGTTTCCAAATTTTTCTACAGGAAAAATAAAATATCCTTGCCGATATTTTTAGCTAAAAATTGCATATATTTTTCGATTTTATCATTAACTCAAAATTTTCTTAACATGTACAATATATAATTTTAATCCATTCTCTATCTATATATATCGAGTATTACATTAATGAAATTTTGAAGTAATGATAGAATAACAAAAATTAATACAATTTGTAGCTGAAAATAATGTCAAAACTATTTTACATTTATCTCTCATATAGACACACACACACACACACACACACACAAACTATATGTCTAATATAACCGCGAAAAAATAATAATTCTGTATAAAAAAAAGTAAGTGGAAAATATTAAATGATTTTTCTTATAGAATTTTTTCATTTTGGGAAAAATAGTTTTGAATATCTGTCACTGTGTATATGAAAGGCTAACATTATTTATAGAATTAATTAAAAAGTTTATACATTTATATACATGTGTAAATATATATAATTTATATAATATATTATATAAATTATATAATATACCCCATGAATAGAACGTGTATTATACCTTCATTATGCTTCATTTGTATGCCAAAAAGATGATCTTTCATGTGTCGATTTGTAATTTAAACGTAGGAATGTAATTCTATCGTGGCAGTATAGAATTCTGAGAAGTTCATCGCGAAGAACCACTCAATCATGGACCCTAGAACTATCCTCATCTAAATTCAGATAGGCAGGTACTACTTAAGATCGATGGATCGATCGACCCCGGATCCCTCATAGGATCTTTTTTGCATTCAATCGATTCGATCATAATATTATGCTAGACTATCAACGATCACAGAATCTACTTTAAAATTCTTTTAAAATTCTTTAAATATCCATACTCTTTGCACATTTTAAATAGAAGCAAGTTGAACAAAATAAAAAAATAATATAAAATAAGAAATAAAGTTAACAAAAAAGTTAATAAAAAATGTATACATATATATAAGTGTAATAAAAAATAAAAATAATTCGACATAAATGTTTATTCGGAATATTGTCATTGGGTTTCTTGTGAGAAATGTAATTGTGAGAAATGTAGTTTCGTAATCTTATGCATTAAAATAAGTCCTAAACTGAATCTTATTAAAGTAGCGTCGATGAATATTTATAGAGTGATGACTTTGGTTGAATCCTGCCCATGTTCATAGACGCCACGATTATGTGGCTCCAACACAAATTACGATTTACGTAAGCTACCGTGATCGATGATAGCGAGGTCGAGTTCGCCAAAATATGTGATCATGTACAAAGAATGAATAAAACTTAGTAAAAGAGAATGCATTATGTCGAAATAAAATCACGAGAATGGTTTTTTATTGTAAAAAAAAGAAACATGTTTTTTTGTTAAATTCATCACTATATTTGAAAACACATTTTATATATATATATATATATATATATTTTTTGTCCCCTTCCTGTCTCTCTCTTTCTTCATAAATTATCTGAAAATTATTAATACAAAAATAATATTTTATATGCATGGACTCACTAAATTGATGAGACTCGATGAATATTGAAATTCGATCATTCAACATGAAGAAAAATATGAGACGCGTATAATTTTTTTCCTCTATATATAACACACACTTATATTTATAGGTATATAGTGGATAGATAATTTTTCGGTTTGTATAACATATTGTAATTATAATAATTCGAAATGAACGAGAGGAAAACGTTACTATAATTATACCCATGATAAAGAACGCAAAACTACTTTCACCAGTCGTTATTAACAGGAACTTTTTTGTTACTGTATGATCGATTATTGACAGTTTAGAAAGTTAACAGTAGAATCAATCGAGGCGCAAAACCGCGCGTAATTTTATCTATAAAAAAATGGTTCGTTTTCACGTTTTTATCGATCATTGTATCTGGCATATAAGATATTTCTCACTTATTTCTTTCCTCACTAATACACAAATAAACATTGAGATGTCAGGCTCACATCTTACGTTAAATTGATGCAGCGTAAAGATCCATATTCTTTAATCTCTTTTAGTACTACTACGCGAGATTTGAGAAGTTTCTTTTCATCTTATTGTTAAATGACTATAGCGTTTTAAATTTGAATCCGAGACAAAAATACGAGTCAAGGCCTTAGCCATTTCCACGATGATAAAGTATCGTCTTTGTAGTCTTACGTAGTCTACTAAAAATGAGGCGCGGATTGTCGGAAACTAACTGTTACGTCCCGGAAGTAAAGATAGCTCTAATTTTGTTGCGCAACGTCGTTCAGGATTATCATGCGTTCGGTTTGCTCTCTGTGGATGTATATGGAGATATCGAATATTTTCTTCATTATCCTCAAATATTATTCGAGACAGTTTAGAACATACAACGCTAAAAGAGCATCGATTAAAATCGTAAAATTGAAAGAACTCGTGAAATACACGAGTAATTAAGAATGAGAAAAACATTTCGAGAAAGACTCGATTTGAACATTTTAAATATCTTGCTACGATACACACATACACGTATGGAAATATTATATAAAGGCAAAAAATAGTTGTTCGACAATAAAGTTAGAAAATGAGAAAGCGAAAACGCGATACATGTTCGAATTACGTTTATCTAGATTCATGTTAAATTCTTGTAATCATTTAGGTTTTAGGTATATTACACGCCGTCAGTTATCTTGAACTTCACGGATTCTTAATGAGATACCAATAAATCTTGGCGAATCGATACACTATTATCGCAATAGTTAACGGTCGTAAGATGCGATTTCGAGGTGAATACTTATGAACGTTCTTCGATAGACCGGCTGTTGTACACATTAGTCGAACTTAACGGGATAAGATCGATAAACATGTGTTGACCGCCGCGATAATGGTGCCACTCCTAGTCGACTGTTGCATACGTGAGATTGTGCATCTTTTTTGCACGTATATATCATGTATGCATATTTTCTATTCTGTGTATATATCCTGTGCATATAATTAACCTGAGAAAAATCCGATTTAATATATATTAAGATTAGATCTTCTAAACTAAATGTATCATTATAGAGTCTAAGTATTTCGAGGTTGAAAATTATTTCAAATTTATAACATATCTTATTAATTTTTTTTTATTTATAAATACCGAACTGTTGTTTTTTATTTATGAATATTAGAAAATGCTTTGAGTAAATTAAAAATTTAATATAAAATTCTAATAAACTTCAAAAAAGGAAATAGTTTGATATAAAATATTATAGTGAAAAGAAAGAAAAATGCCAGTTAAAGTCTAAGTACAATAATGTATGCGTAAATGTTGATAATAATTATATCATTGGAAGTAGACCAGAACGTCATACATGTTTTATTTAAAGTACGATTATGTAACGGAGAAACACCACTCATACGGAATATTTTCTCATTTTTAAATCAGCTAACCGTTCATGGTTCATATAAAATGTGAGCAGTATTTAAATA